ATAGAATTGATACAGCTGAGAAGGAGGCATTTTCTGAAGATGGTATGTTTCCTAGGATTGCTATACCATAGCTATTGCAGAAATCCATTCCTTTCTGGGGTGCAGCCCTATTCTATGAAGAGATATATCGGCTGGATTTTAACTTCTTGCTTCTTAAGCATGTAAACCAAATTAGCTTCAACTCAAAGCAGCCAGGCATTTGCTATCCAGAAGCAGGATTTATAAAGTAATTGAAATTAGCAGTGATCTGAACAGCTGAGCCTTAGTGATGTGCATCAAGGATTTCCAGCTGGAATTATTTCAACAACAAGAACACTAATATTATAGCCTGGCCCAAGCCCAAAACTTTGTCTAACCCCTGAAGCTGCCTATTCTTCTTGAATGGAAAGAGCATAAAATAAATGATATAGTAGTACCACCACTTCTTTCCAGAGTCTTTAAAAAGATTATGCAATTGCTGATGATTTACTTTGCTCGGTGACTAAACATGTTAGATGTCAGTTCTAATGGGAAACACACAAATATTTGTTAGGGTTTCTAACTGGTGAGCAGCACTAATTGGATTTGGAATTTGATATCACAGTTGCTCTTCCTGCTGCTACTACCAGAAAAGAAAACCATATTTAGAAAGCCAAGGATCATGAAGTAGTTTTGGAATGAAATGATTTTAGCAATATTTCCTAAACAACAGTTGCCTGCTTTGTATGAATGGACAGTATATTTTACTTTTGCATTTATCAAATAATCACCATTTTATTTTATTTTTTTATTAAGTTGTTTGTGTTTTGAATCATTTCATTCCTAGTATTTATATTATTTCTTTCTGAACAATTTCCCTGTCACTAGTCTTATTTTTTCCCTCTATTATACTATTCCTTCCATGAGAAGTTGCATCTATGCTATCCTTCTATTTGGTATATCATCCAGGTCTCAGTTTTCATTAGATTTATTCTTAGTTTGATCTGAAGCACGGTTCTCAAACTGAGGGTCGTGACCCCCTCAGAGGGTCATAAGGTGGTTACATGGGAGTTGCAAGCTATTAGCTCTGTGGGGCTGACAGCTCCCAGCTCATATTAAATTAAATCCCCCCACCCCTTTTTAATGCATGGGGGGTTATACTCAGATATTTGCTGTGTGAAAGGATTCACTAATACAACAAGTTTGAAAACATCTGGTCTAAATAATCTTTTCTTTTCTGTCTGGTCTACTTTGCTCATGTAGTCCTCAATTGCCTAGTGGCATTTACATTGTAAGGATTGTGCCTTTTACCATGTATGCCAAAATGCACAAACAACCTCTTTTTTAAGCTTTGTATCCATGTGTTCTGTATATTCCCCACCCCTTCTTAGTGCCATTTCTTACCTCTTTCTTTCTAATCATTTCATTAATCATTAATCAGACTAGTCAATATACAAGCAGTATGTGCTGTATAAATATCTTGGGAAGCTACAGTACAGTGCAATGGCAGGAATTGCAAAACACATTTGTTTGCAGCACTCTTGCAAAAGGAGTAGGAAAATTATTGTGTTGTCAGTGCGATGTATCAAGATAATTTTTACTATTACTATGAAAGAGGTTGATCAACATAAGACAAAAAGCCTAATTTCTTTTAGCTACAGAGTTTTCCTTTGTAGTGGCTATGATTTATTTCCCTAGTTTGACAGTGACCATGCAGAGTCAGCTAATTAAAGTGTGCCTGCACAGGGAGTTTACTGTGAAGGCTTAAAATATGCGTGTTTCACCTGTAACATGCACATGAGATGCCTGTTTCATTTTCAATTTACATCATGTGAACACATGGTGATGGTTTACCTGAACTGGTATACTGGTCTCAGAGATTTTCCCATGGTCTTTTGGGTTATGGCCGAGCAATGTGCATTCTGCAATTGTGAATTGTGGGATGCAAAGCAGAAACCACATGGATTCAATTTTCTTTAAAAAAATCTGTCTCTGCTCTGTACTTCATTTTTGGGAGGGCTGGCGCTATTTTCGAAGAGCTGTCAGCACAGACCCAGAAATGTACTGCACCTCTCTGGAGGCAAGCATGAATAGACAGAGGCTGCTTGGGCTCAACATTCATACCTAGGATTGGGTGAGCAGATGGGGAAGGTGAGGAGAATACACAGTGATGGTATCCCCGCTTCTCCAGTAGTAGGAAAACACTGGGAAGCTGTTGCAGCAGGATGAGGATGCTGCACTGCTGGAAGAAGAGGATCAGTGTACAGTGCTATTTATGGGCCCCGTGAACCCATATGAAATGGTAGGAGACAGTTAGTAGTGGCAAGAGGCTTCCAGGTTGGGAAGTGATACCTTTTTTGAGGTCAGTACAGAGCTGCCCCAAGACCTACATCAACAGCTTTCCCAGATGCTTTGTCCCATACCAGTTCAAAAGCAGGTTTCCATTGCCCTCTGGAAGCTGTCTGGAAGGGTCCATCCGATGAGCTTTCAGATCTCAGCTCTATTTAATTTAATGGAGAAAAGACTCTTTGCCCTCAAGACTACTGTGGACATTAAAGATGTAGAGTTTGCTCAAGTTATTCTCCTTATTCTCTGATGCCCTCTTTAATGTACCAGGCTATTATGGGAGGGGGGGCAGGAAAAAAGGAATATTTAGCCAGTGTAGTTGCATCATGGTGGTCGAGTGTGTATTTGAGTGTTTGAAACGTGGGTGGCATGGCTTGGGGAATGTTTGAAAGCAGCAGAAAAGAAACATCCCAACCCTTATAGCTGCATGCAGTGTTATGCACTGTATTTGTCAGACAAAGAGGAAAACCTTTAACAACAGGCTGAGGGTAGGCCACTTGCTTGGCAGTTCAAGCAGCCAGCAAGGCATCTCTTAGAGAAGTCTTCAGCCTATGTAGGTACATCCTGTTACACATCTTTGGAGGCAGGGAAGGAGATTGGGAGTAATGCAGACTGTGAGTAATGCAGCATTGCTTATGTGTGGAAGAACAGAATGTTGCCCTTATATACTTTTGTAAAGGCACATACATTATTTTAAAGGATTTTAGGTGTTACACACAGTCATAATGAACCAAAATGAATTTAAATGGTTTACATTATAAAATAACAATAATAATACAGAAACCCTGATTCGCTGAGATATAACAATGCTTCTTTTATTTAAACAAATCTACAGATTAACCAACAAAATGCAAACTTCTGAAGAAATCATTTAAACCAAGTGGAAAGTGCAGCAATACAAAAGGTACAAAAGTAACAAGCTATTTGGCCTAGGCTTAAAGTTACAGCTGCACGTAAGTCTTCCCTCTGCCTTGTCTTACATAGGCAGTTCTGGGCAGTAATTCAAATGTTTAGGTGTTGTATAGGCTCAAAAGTCCTGCACTTCCAAGAGCCAGTGTTCTTGGTGGGCAAATGTTGAAACGGAGAGGGGAAAGGCCTCTGGGATAAGTGCTGTGTGGCACAGAGAGAAGAGATTGTCACTGATCCCAGTGGCCAGCCTTGTCCAAGGTGCTGAAGAACAGGGCTGGGTCCTCTTATACACTACCCTACAGAATCCCTGAACCTGCTGGCCTAGCAGGAACATGTTTTGTAATTGTGCCCTGAGACTGCTGTCTTCCCTATGTGCTGTTTGCTGCTGTGCCTTAGTAGCTTGGAGGAGTGTGTGTGTGTGGGAGGGGGAAGAGGGGAGGAGGACTTGGAAATATGCTCCCATTTTGTTCTGGAAATATTGTTTGTATGTTTCTATGATGTTGAGGCATTTCTATGGTGTCAGAGGAGATGATGGTGGTATGAAAGGGCCACTGGGGTTGAGTTGGTCAGTTATCCCCTTTGAATCCCCTTTAGGTGATCCTGAGCCTCAGTGACTTTACAGTGAGGCAGGTCACTAGTAGTCAGAGAATGGTCTTATTCAAAAAGACGGAGGACATGTGCTGAAGCTACTGAGCAGGTTGGCCTCTCCAGAAATACAAACTGCAGCTGATGGGGTGGGGGAAAGAGGGACTCAATGTGCCACTATTCCTTATAACGTGTGAATCAAAATTGAACAATTCCTCGATCTTCAGTTCTGCTTTATCTCTCCTGCAGAGATGCAGGAAATTCAGAAAAAAATTAATAGGATTCTGCAATGATTGCGGGCTAGAATATGCGTTACAGGGCATTTCAAACACAGGATACTGTTTGTTTTGGTATCATGCAATGTCCATGTCCACCTCAGGTGAACTATAAACACTAACTGAAGGTCTATTCCTGTAAACAGTGGTTTTTATTTTCATTATTTAAATGTGCCACTGGATGTGGAGTAGGGGAGGGGTCAATGGCATTAGACTTGGGGTTTGTTTACTGGGTCGGGTGGACGAGGAAAGAGGAGAGGAAAATAGTCAGATGGGCAAGTGCCACAGTCTTGAAACCTGTTGATAATCTGGATGTATTGCTGCAAGGTATGACAGCAGCTGGATTTTCCAGATGGCCAGCATCATGGTCCCAGATCCCAAATGGATCCTAGCTCTCAGGGGACTGCTCCTTTCCAACATTTTCCTGCTCATCCTTTGGTGCAACTTACCAGTGTTCCCTGATGCGAGGGAAAGTGAATCCGGCAGACTCCAGACACTGTCTTGAATGATTGTCCTATAACTGTGCATGATTCTGAGTTCCTTGCTTGTTAACTGGCATTGGTCAATATCCTGACTGGTGCCTCTCTTAAGTATCTGCCTGGCAATGTCTACAAAAAGAGCGCCATTCATATGACTTGGTCACAAGGTAACACCCTTGTGTTGACATGCCATGAGTACATGTGAAGAATATTTGGGATCTGGGCCAGGGCAGGCAAGGATGTTAATCTGTTGTTGCTGATGGGATTTACCTCTGCATGTGAAAAGTGCATGTATACCTCTGACAGATTTATGCACTGTTTGTGGTGTGGACTGGAGCAGGTGGACTATAATGCTATACTGTTTCCCTTTAAAGATGCCTTTTAAAATAAATTGTAACTGAATAACATGCTTTTGATACTTCAAACAGACTTTTTTGTACTTTTCCAGACAAACCTTGTAAAACTGCTGTTGATGCATCGGGCAAACCCCAGTCTTCTCAGCTGCAATGATGAAAAGCCTTCAGGTGGGTGATGATCTACTGGTGTCCTAATAAATGTGATAGTCCTTTATTTTTCCCTTAGCAAATAATTCTAGTCTTCACTCAAGCTCTATAGATTGTTGGTTTGGCCCACCTTACAAAGAATAAGTTGTTTTGAATAGAGGCACGTGAAGGCCTCAATAGGAATTTTACTGCATAATGCCACCACAAGAAAGCATTGTGAAATTTTAAAGAGACTGACTCGAGAGGTTGTGAGTTCACAAGATGTTGTCGTACTTGGGGTGCTTTTCATCTCTTGCTTTTGGGTTCTGAAGCTGTGGGATTACGCATAGGCCCATGCCTTCAAGGGTATTCTTAAACTTATAGAATAGGTGATGATTTATTCAAGAGTATGTATTTTTAAAAGAACATTTCTTGTGCATTTTATATAATTTTGTCTTCTGTTTTCAAAAGGCTTCCAGAAAAACAGAGAAGATCATATAAAACGGTTCATGTATTAATGCCTTCCCTATAGTTTTTAGTATTTGCTTTTAGCATATATTTGATGTTCTTATTCCTTTGGAGACTTGGTTTTGGTGGTTTCTGTCTTTCTCTACTGCCACAGGGTTAGATACTACAGTGTTGGATTCTCATCTCCATGATTTTCAGAGATGTTGAGGATTGGCAGGCCATGTCCCTTAATCCCTGATCAGGAGATCATGATCAGCTCAGTTATCAAAGGGCAGATTGTTTCCCAAAGTATTACAACCTTTTCATTTTGCAGAGATGGCCATCCTAGACAGCTCTGCAGCTCCTTTGCACAAACTGCCTCTAGGGTTCCTTTGCAGATCTCCCTTTTTACTTCTCCCTCCAGCCACCAAACCAGCACATTGCTCCTCCAGGGTACAAGGCCGCAAGCTGCTCCTACTCTTCATGTAGATAGACACAGCAGCAGCTGCTAAATGAACACAGGGGCTGCGTCTAGACTGGCAAGTTTTTCCGCAAAAGCAGTTTGCCAGCTGTCTACACTGCCCGCTTGAATTTGCGCAAGAACACTGACGATCTCATGTAAGATTGTCAGTGTACTTGCAGAAATACTATGCTGCTCCCGTTTGGGCAAAAGCCCTCTTGCGCAAATGCTTTTGCACAAGAGGGCCAGTGTAGACAACGTGGTATTGTTTTGTGCAAAAAAGCCCCATTGGCGAAAATGGCGATCGGGGCTTTCTTGCACAAAACCGCGTCTAGATTGACACGGACGCTTTTCTGCAAAAAGTGTTTTTGCAGAAAAGCGTCCATGCCAATCTAGACACTCTTTTCTGCAAATGCTTTTAACGGAAAAACTTTTCCGTTAAAAGCATTTGTGGAAAATCATGCCATTCTAGACGTATCCAGGCTGTTTAATCATGTCACAAAAGCTCATCTGTACATCAGGGGTGAAAGTAACTTACATTTCTTACAGGTGTTGTTGTATTGTAGCCCCCCTGAGTGTGGGGGAGCTCAGGGCAGGAGTCTGAAATGTAACAGTTCTTGTTTGAAATGTAAATGTGAGGAAGAGTTGGTGACTCAGATCAGGGTCCTGGGGTGTGCAGAGGTGGTGGTGGGGATCACGACAGGGATGGGAATATGGGAAGTGCAGGAGCCTGGGCAGGAACTTGGGGGCATGGAATGCTCAGGACAAGGGGCTGGAGGTGTGAGGGAGTGCAGGAGTCAGGGTAGGTGGATATGAAGAGTGAATTGCAGACAATGAGGTCTCAGGAGCTCCAAAGTACCATGGGTGGCTGGGCGTGTATGTATGTACTCAGCAGCTCCTGGCCCAGGCAGGCAGTGGAAAATTCTCTTCAGCTCCCAGTCCCTGCATGACGCTGGGACCTTGCAACTCCTGTCTGCCTCAGGTGGAGGAACATCCCCAAAGCTCTGTGCTTCAGTCCTAACCATGGCTGGTGTAGTGACCCTGCAGCCCTGAGCCACAGGCAGAGGAGGACTCACAGCTCAGAGCTGGCTTCCCGCTGGCAATGAGGGGATCCTTCAGCTCATATTTTGTCATGCATATTTTTAGTGAAAGTCACTGATAGGCCATGGGCTTCCATGGCCTGTCTATGGCTTTTACTATAAATATGTGTGACAAAATCATATCCTCCTTAATAAAGAGGAGCAATGAAAGACATGAGAAGTACAGTAAAAAAAAAGCATTATTAAAAATCCTTCTGTGGAAGTGCAGTTCCTTACCTTCTGAGGAAAGGATAAAATAAGCTTTTTATCTGAAAACTTACATCTTAATGCTGAATATCCACATTGCACAAAAAACAAAGTTGCTTCAGCCTCTGCAAATCAATATACAATTTAAAGTATCAGACTAATTTTTGGAAATAAATAAAATTGCAAGAATGTTCAATGCTTACATTTGTTCAAATACATTGTTTAATTATTGTTTGCAAGGTCGTTGCTGCCATGTTGGTCCCAGGATAATAGAGTGAACAGGTAATATCTTTCTCTTTGTAGTCCAAAAGATTGTCTCTTTCTCCAGCAAAGGTTGGTCCAATTAAAGGTATAACCTCACTTACACTATCTAATTCTTCAGTTACAGAGTTCAATATTTGTATCTATCTGCAGTTCACATACTATAGGAGACCCTCACGATTCACAGATTTGCTGTTTGTGATTTTGTGGGTCTCTTCTGTTCCCCCATTACACTTGAACCCCTGGCCTTGGGGAAGAAGCCTGTTGCTGGATGGAAGCAATGGACAGGATGCTCCTCTCTTCGCACTCACCACAGCAGCCAAGAGCCACAGGAAGTTCAATGCAGGGTCAGAAGCCGTGGGGAAAACAGTGCGTCAGCCAGGAGCCATGGGGAAGCACACCACAGCCCCCAGCCTGCGTGATTAGTTCCCTGCAGCTCCCGGCCCCCAACATCAATTCCCCACAGCTCCCGGCAGCTATGGTGAGTTCCTCTCACTTCCTGGCCCCTGTGGTGAGTTCCCTATGGATCTTGACCCCTCTCTGTGAGTTCCCCATGGCTCCCAGCAGCTGCAGGGAATTCAGGAGCTGTGGGGAGCTCACTGCAGGTCCCAGGAATTGTGGGGAACTCAAAGCAGTAGCTGGGAGCTGCTGCCCCCAGGATTCATGAATTTCAACATTTATGGTGGTGCCTGGAGTGCATCCACCAAGAATGGCGAAGGTTTACTGTATTGAATAGTTTAGCTCCTGATAGAATAAGACTGGTTGTGGAGTTTTGAAAACAATGATAATGTAATTTCATATTAAAGGTATCATACATTTATTTTTCCCCAATAATCTGGTGCTCTATTTTGTGATATATATCAAGAGCAGTGTTTCTTTTTTTGGCAACATGTTGATAAAAACTTTTGTTAAATCTTAATCTGATCTGGAATTTTGAGTCAAGTAGAATTTGGCTTTTCTACTTTCTTTTGCCTGATAGTCTTCTTGGCAATATCCACTATCTAGATATTGCAGCTTCTGAATTTATTGAGGAAATGCTGCTGAAGGCTGAAACTGTTTGGGAAGAAAAAATGAAAGACCCTTTATCTGTTTCTGCTTTATCACAAGAGGAGCCATATGAAGAAATCATCCATGATCTGCCTGCACTTTCCAATAAACTGTAAGTGTTTTTATTGTTAAGAGTGTTCTACTAAAGTGTTAAAGTACTGGGGCAAGATTTTCCTGTAGATTGTATGCACAACTGAGGAGCTAATGGGTTCCTCATTTTAGAAAGTTGCCTTATGTTTCTCTGGTTTTAGTCCTCCATCTCTACTAAGTTTGCTTTAAATCAATCTAGACTATAAAGCATGGTAAGAAGAGTATAATGTATTGTTATGTTGGTCAGTAAAAATTCCTGGATTATTTTAGCAGAATTATTGTGGGGTGTGATTCTGGAATCATAAAATCATAGCATCATACTAGAACTGGAAGAGACCTTGAAAGGACATCAGATGCAGTTCCCTGTCCATATGGTAGGACCAAGCCCTGTCTAGATGATCCCTGATAGATGTCTATCCAACCTGTTCTTATATATCTCCATTGATGGAGATTCCACAGTCTCCCTAGGCAATTTATTTCAGTGTTTAGACTTAATCATGCTCCCATTAACATAGATGAAAATGAACTGATAAAAATACCATTGACTTAAGTAGGAGCTGGGACATTTACTGAGAGTAAGATTAACATGACCACTTTTAGACAGAAGTGAAGACTGCTCTAGGAAGTTACAGATTGTAGTCTGAATTGTACTGCATACAGTAAGTAGCTGGTGCAAGGTGGAGAGAAAGGTAGGATTCCATTGAGTGAACTCAGAGGTCAGTGACGGAGTGCAATATGGATTTAGTTCTTGCTCTTGGCAAAAAGTTGGATTTTGATATCTGTATATATTCTTGCACATCTTAGAAGGAGACTCTGACACGGAAATTCCTTTGGGGCTGTCACCCACGATGCTGATCATACCACTGAGCCTGACCACCTGCCTTCTAGGGCCCCCCACCACCCCTGTCTTGTCCATGCCAATAAAGACACAGATTTGGAATAACAACCCCCCAGCAGAGAAATAGAGTTGCTGAAATAGCCCAGCTCTTGGAGGGTTCCGTTATAGGGACTTGATTGCGTTCAGGAACCCAGCCCTCAAAGGGGACCAAAATGCCAGATAAGTCAATCTTACTCTGTACAGAAGTTTTACACAGAGAAAGCACACAAGATTCGCTCTCTGTATTAATGAAAGAGAGAGATGCACAGCTGTGCCTCTTTCCCCAGTAACAATTATTTACACTGGGCCTGATAATAAGCAAAAGTGTTTTATTAAATAGGGTTTAAGTGATCGTTAAGTGAAAACAGACAGATCAAAGCAAGTTACCAAGCACAACAAATACAATATGCCAATTAAGCTTAATATACTAAGCAAAATTGATACAGATAATAATTTTCAACCTAGTCCTTATTTCAATTATAGCCTTTCAACACAGATTTGATCTTTTCTCTGGCCTGGGTCTAACAGCTTCCTGTGTCTTTAGAATTCTTTGTTTTCATTTTTCTTTATGTGAATTCTCTTAGGGTAGTTCGAACTAGGGAGGCTAATGAGGGTGACCAAAATTGCTAATGATTAGCATATTCCTGGCCAGTCGCCATTTTGGAAACTGACTAGCCCAAAGTAACTACCCACGTCTACACACGGCAGAGAAGCAGATTTCCGAGAAAAACCCCTCAGTTCGAATTAACTGTTACTTCTCATGGAATGAGATTTAACAGTTAATTTGAATAAAGGGTTTATCTTGGAATCCCGCTTCTCTGCCGCGTGTAGATGCGGGCAGTTACTTCGGGCTAGTCAGTTTCCAAAATGGTGACCAGCCAGGAATATGCTAATCAAGCAAGGGATATTTAAATCCCGCGCTTCATTAGCAATTTCGGTCGCCCACATTAGCCTCCCTAGTTCAAACTAGGGGGCTAGTGTAGACGTACCCTTAGAGTGGGAAAGTCAGTTTTCAAAAGCTAGCTGAAGACAATGTTGGTTGCTTTGCATTCCTTAAATAGAATTTCCCCTTTGTTTGCCCCTCACTCGCCCCAAGGAATAATACCACATTCAAGATGGATTCCAACACCAGTTGGCATGTACACATGTCTTTGTAGGACCAACTACAGTTTGGGGTTACAGGAAAAACAAAGTCATTTACAGATTGCTGTCTTGAAGAACAGGCCATTAAGTCCCTAATTCTTCAATTACAGCATTCAGTATTTTATCTATCTGCAATTCACATTATACAGGAGACCCTTGCAAGTTGCAGAATCTCTATTTGCAATATTGCGTATTTGTGGGTCTCTCCTGCCCCCCTCTCCCCATTGCACCTTAAGCCCCAGCCTGGGTGGGGCACAGCATCAGGGAAGAGTCCTATTGCTGGATGGCAGCAGTGGACAGAGCCCATCTTCCTCCATTTTCACCACAGCATCTGGGAGCCTATACTCTGGGAATTTATGTCAGAGATTGTACTCTGCCCTCTAGAGCTATCGACATGCGAAAGACATGGATGGGACGTAGCACAGAGGGTGTAAAATTTACTCTCCTCATCCCTTGTTTCCTAAAATGCAGAGGAAGCTTGTGACTCATTGAGAAATTTCCAAAGGTTATCATTTATTCAATGATCATTTAAAAAAAAAAAACCTATTGTGGAATGTGACCTTCATCCATAAATACCTAGAAAAATTCATTGAAAAACTAAAATAACTGATTCTAAAGATGAACCATCTGTGGAAGATGAAACTGCCCGAAAAGACCTCACTATCTAAACAGGTCAAAAGCTTTGAAAGATATCACTTCAAAGCATGATACAGTGGAGGCTAGGGGTTCCTCTGGTACTCATGGGGCAGAGAGAGCCCATAGCTCTAATAGCAAACATTCTCTTATTCAACATCTTCCTCCAGACTAAAAGGAACAGTTCCAGACTATTATTGATAAGGGACCGCTACTGACCAGAACAGCCCTTTGAGTGTCCTTAGAAGCTGCAGATACCATGGCTTGGTCTTTCTCCACAGTCGTGGTGATGGTAGAGGCTCCTGGTTCCAGTTGTGGTTTCCAGGAGAAGTCCAGAATAGGATAGAGGGTCTCCTCTTGGATTGAAATTGAGAATACCAATGAAACACTACACATGCTACAAGACTCAGAAAGCACATTGCATTCATTGGGCATTTACACCCCCGGGAACAAAAGGAAATTCAGTAGATAGCAAATAGTCCAAAGATGCTACCCAATAGACTTCTCTGGGTTTGGGGTACATCTAAACTACATCCCTCTTTCAAAAGAGGGATGTAAATTAGTCATATTGAAATTGCAAATGAAGCCAGGATTTGAATTTCCCACGCTTCATTTGCATAATTGTGTCACGGCATTCTTTCAAAATATGCTATTTCAAAAGTGAAACGGCTGTTTAGACATGGTTCTTTTGAAGAGAAAATCCTTTTTTGAAAGATCCAGTACTTCTCATTTTTTGAGGAGTACAGTATCTTTTGAAAAAGGCTTTTCTTTAGTCTAGACATAGTCTAAGAGACCTTTGGGACCTCCAAGAAAAATAGACAGAGGTTCCACAGAAAGAGATCCTTTAACTCAATGATTCTCAACCGGGGTATAGGTACCAGTGGGGGTATGCAGAGGTCTTCCAGCACATACATCTACTCATTTAGATATTAGCCTAGTTTTACAACAGGTTACATAAAAAGCACTAGCAAAGTCAGTACAAACTAAAATTCATTCAGATAATGACTTGTTTGTACTGATTTCTATTTTATATCCTGAAATGTAAGTGTAATATTTATATTTTAATAGATTTATTTTATAATGCTATGGTAAAAATGGAAAATAAGCATTTTTTCAGTAATAGTGTTCAGTGACATTTTGTATTTTTATGTCTGATTTTTTAATTTTTAAATCAGGTGAAATTTGGGGGGGACACATTATAAATCAGACCCTAAAAGGGTCACAGTTCTCTGGAAAGGTGGAGAGCCACTGTTTTAACTCATTTGATGCAAGTTCACAGAAGGCTGCTTCTTAGAAATGTCATTTTTGACAAGATGATGACAATTTGACCCCTTCCTTTTCTCTAGATAACTGCAATTATTTTCTCATTTCCCCTTTGATTGGCAACTGTCTTTCCCATTTCCAACAAACTTTCGAATGTATCACCTTGATTGAAGTATTGCTGGAAGCAATAACAGCTGTCTCTATACCATCCACTTTTAGGGTGTGTCCAGACTACACTTCTCTGTCAACAGAGAGATATAGATTAGGCACATCCAAATTGCTAAAGAAGCAGGGATTTAAATATCCCGTGCTTCATTAGCATAAACATGGCCATCGTTTTTTTCTAAACAGATTTTTTTCGGAAAAAGCAGCAGTCTAGATGTGGATCCGTCAAAAATAAAGCCTTTTTCGACAGATCCTGTAAACCTTGTTTTTTGAGGAATACAGGATCTGTTGAAAAAGGGTTAATTTTGACAGATCCGCGTCTAGACTGTGATTTTTTTTTCGAAAAAACTCTGTTTTGAAAAAAGTGGTAGCCATGTTTATGCTAATGAAGTGAGGGATATTTAAATCCCTGCTTCATTAGCAATTTTGATGTGCTTGATTTTCATCCCTCTGTCGATGTAGCCTTACTTCCTCCCTCCATCTCATCCCCATTTCTTATTTCCTATTCAGGGACCCCTCTTATGACTTCTTATTACATCATGGTCTACACTAGAAAATTAGTTTGGTTTAATTATGTTGGTCAAGGATGTAAAAAATTCACACCCTGAGTGATGTAGTTAATCCTACGTATGTTCCCGTAAGAAAAGCACTTGGTTGATAGAAAAATTCTTTCAATGATCCAGCTACTGTCTCACAGGAAGGGGATTACATACCCCAAAGGCAAACCACTTCCTTTAGAGAGTGTGGAGGGATAGCCACCCAACCCCACTCTGTGCCCCAATTCTACTGTGGCCTGGCCCTAGCTACAGCTCCCCTCCTGGCCTCAGCTCCTAGAGGTGGCCTCCAGCTGTGGCTTAGGACTCTCGAGTACCTGGTTTTCAACTGGAAAGTCTGGCCAGAAAGGGGACCTGGAAGTCCCTGGTAAGCACTGCTGACCAGAAACTAAAAGTCTGGTTACTTGCAGTAACTGCTACATTACAGCACAGTTCTCTCCCATCCTGCCCTACTCACCTGAAACCCCAGTGCACGAGTCTCCTTTGTCTGTCCTGCCTCTATAAGCCATCACCCCTAGAGCATGGCTCCCTTTTCCCATCTTGTCCCTCTCATTCACCTACCACAATCTCAGCTTCCTATGGATACAGACCAGGTAAGGGGGTGCTACTGAAAAACTTTGGGGACCACTGGCTTAGACAAACTGACGTCAGTTCCCTAACAGACAAAACACTCCTTAGATTGGTGGAAGAATGATTACAATGTAAGTGTAGGAGTTCCTTTCTTCCAACTGATGCCAGTGGTAACTGTAGCTAGAGATGTATCTCGTTGGGATGGGTAGCATACAGAACATATGATACAGGACAGATGATGTCCCTGAGAAAACACCTTCCCTATCAACCTATTGGAGCTCAAGACAGCTGGAAATTCTTGCCATTATTTTCTGCCTCCTATCAGAGACAAGTCAAGAAGCCATGACAACAGTGAGGCTTATATGTTTTACATCGCCCAGGAGGAAGAGATGCGATCTGCTTCCCTCCTTCACTGAAGTAGTAGTGTTGAGATTGCTGGATAAGGCATCACTAAGAATTTTGGCAATGAGTCTCACTGTCAGGCAAAACATCACAGCTGATGCTCTCTGCAAGACTACAAATGAGAGTTGGAATTGCATATTTTTGTTGGCATATTTCATACTTAGGGGTAACCAGAAGTAGACCTCTTTGCCACAGCCTCATGTTTCATTCAATCAGAGGTTTAGGCTACGGGTCATTGAGGGTGCTTTCCTCCTCCCTTGACTGAAGAAATTTTTCTTCCTACACCCCTTATTCTCTAGATGGTGAATAGGATTGGACAAGACAAAGCCAGAGTTATTCTAATAGCCTGACCATAGTCGAATTAGCATGTCTTTGAATGTCAGCTTCCAAAACTTCCCTCTACATTCAATCTTTTCAGTGTAAAAATGCTGAAAACTGATAACTCTGGTGATATTTTGAAGCACATTTAAAAAATAAAAATCAGCAAATTAATTTAATACACTGATGGCTCATGTAGATAAAAATTAAGGTGACTATTACTTGTACAACACACTAGAATTTTTCCATAATGTGTGCCAGTAATAGTAGCCCTACATAACTCAAATAGATTACCCTTGATAACTGAACTTTGTGTCTAGTATATATCTTTACTTTTGCCTCAAGCCACATAGCTCCCTTTGTGGTTAATTATCTGATCATGGAACACAACATTCTGGAGATGATTGCTCATGCTTAACCAGACACCTGCATTAACAAAAGATCTTTTTTTCCCCACTGTGCTATAGTTAGACTTTCAGTGGCACAATAGTTAACAGAATTTCACCTTGTGACTAACCTGCAATGAATGTTTATAGAGGAATTTTACTAAAAGTGACATTTTGGTGGAAAGATCATATTTCTAGCTAAGGTACCTAAGGTTTTAATGTTCAGTATCTTTCTGAAGCTGAATCAAATAGATTTGTTTGTATGATGTGTTATTCTGTCTTTGTTGGAATTCATCTCATGTACTTCTTGAAATACAAAGTATATTCTAGCACTTTATCCGAAGGCTTTTTAAAGTCTCTTAAATACAAATAGTTTGTGTGGTATGCAGGCATAAATCAATGTATTTTACATATCTTTTGTTTAAGAACCTAGCCCGTGGTTTACTTGCCACATATATGTACTGAATTCTCAAAATTTATGGTTAACATAAAAAATGTACCTACTTGGTCACCAAAGGAGTGGAGGAAAGTTTAGCACTTTGCTGTCTGAGGGTATCTGCGATAGTCAGCTTCTATCTACAACTCCTTAATCAGATTCTTTTGATCTATCTTCCCTGAAAGGCTTACACTCTAATTTTAAACATGATGCTACAAGTGCACCTGCTGTGTCTGGGGATGGTTGTGTGTGCTACAAACAGTGGGGAGCGAATGGGATGAGGAAGGATGAAGGTTGCAGCAGTAAGATTCTGAAGCTGTGAACACTCACAAAGTGAATACTATATTAATATTAACTTGAAAATACCAACTGTGAAGATTTTAATGATGATCACCATATCTGGGCACAACTTCTAATCAGAATATATTGGAAACACCTGTAAACTTGGGAAAACATATTAATTAAATGAAGGGTTTTGTTTTGTTTTGTTTTTCCTAATAAATACCAGAAAAATATTTTGAAAATGCCTGTAGTCATGTGGCTCAAAATTTCCATTAAAAGTTTACCTTTTGTGTTGAGATTACCCAAAAGGACTTCCAGAAAGCTGTGTGCAATAGGAAAAGTTGCATTAAAAGGAAAGTTGTCATAACATGTAATATTTTTACATTCATTTTTTATATGACTAATCTCACCATTACTTTTGAAAAGTGAGACCCTTAGCACTGAGAGCATAGCTTTCTGAAAAATAAAAGTGCCTTCATGATATGGTCTTTGGAAAATGCTTCAGAAGATTATGCTTTCAATTAGGCATGTCTTAGAATAAAGTGTATATCACATGTCATTTCTGGCATTATTTGTTACTAAAAGCAAAGCACTTTTATTACTTACTATTATTTCAGTATAATATTACTGCTAAAAATGGTCCTCATTCAGGAAAGCAATTATCATATTTTTAAGTTTACCCCTATTAAATACTGCACTTAAGCACCTAATTAAAGTTAAGCAGGTACTTAAATTCAGTCCTGAATAAGAATGTGGGCCACTATTAGGGTTGGAAGTAAACCCCCATTCTTTTCTTCTTGGATAGTTAAGACATAAGTCTCCGGGTAAAATCCTGGCCCTGCTACAGTTAATGGCAAAACTCCCATTGATTTCATTGACCGTGATTTTATCCTCCATATCTCCATGCTGCCTTCCTTCCTAAATGTTACCTCCACGTGCATTGTCAAAGGAGACATAACCAAGAAACAGAGGAAACTGGGTTCAGTAACTCCTCTCTTGAATAGTGTTGTGGTGGCATTTTTCAAACTCACCTCTGTTCTGAGGCTTTTGCTGGTGTTTAGTGTCCTGGAATATGATGTATCTGAAATCTTGTGAGAACCTGCATGTCCGACATTGTTTGTGTATTTGTTTCTTTGTTTGTTTTTGAGAAGTATGGAGTGCTCTGGAATGTAAATATAGGACGTGGGAAGGGAATGGGAACCTCCAAGAGTAGTAATAAGCTCATATAGAGAAGCTTCAGGGGGTAGCCTAGTTAGTCTGTACAGGAAATGTACCAGACTGGACCATTTGTTGGTTTTTTTCATATAGAGAAGTTTTGTATGGTGGCAGTCATTTTAGGTATCATCTATTTTCTTTTTTTCACCTTAAATATTATAGTATTACTAACTCTGGAACAGTATATATAGATTTTAAAACAAATTAAATATCTCATATTTTTTTTACCAAGAATGATACCTTTTTATTTTATTTTATTTTATTTTATTTTATTTTATTTTATTTTATTTTATGCAACAACAGTAGCTGTATGTCAAATTGTTTTTAAATATATTATTTTTGAGAATACTATTGTGGAAGTTAATCATACATTTAAATTAATCTTTCAGATTGTTTATTGATTTGCCAACCTAGCACTATCAAATACAACCTCATGCATATTCTATTTGCGTTGCTTAGCTTTCTTCTGAAGCAGACTTGCATAAAAGTGAATTTTAAATCAAAGTGCTTTGCCAAGACTACTGTATCATTGGCATAGACTAGTGAACAATCTGCTGTTCTCATCCAATTTCTGTTTCTTTTTGGATCAGGAGCAACTGTCTCAGGCATGAATTATATTTTAGTTCCAGATTCATACCTCTCATTCTTGGCAATCTTCTGTTTGTCAGGCATCTTCAAAAGGAGTCTAATTGCTATATTGATTCTCTCTGTAGCAATCCCTTAGCTTTGCCGATTGCCAAACAAGACAGTTTGCTGGAGAAAGACACCATGTTCAAAGATTCAACAAAAGGTTTATATAAGCAGCAGTCTCAAGACACCGCATCTGACAAAGTCACAGTGAATGACACAACCAAACTTGAACAGGTACATGCCAAGTTTCTTAAATGTCTTGGGTCTGGGAATTTGACATTTGATGTACAAGAAAGCGCAGGGATGTAACTTATATATGCTATAAAGTGTTGGCTACAGTCATATTCTAATAATTCCCAAAATCATTACACTTAAACATCTTAGGATCAGGCTACCCTAAAGACCATCACTCTTAATGAATTTCATGGACGTAGTTGTGATAAGCAGATGTATTTGGTTTTCAAATATTAAATAATTAATAGGTCACCGTACCAGACCTTTGCATGGTACCAAAGTGCAAACATTAAGAGAAAAATAAAGAAACTGAATTTTCTTTTCTCTCTTGCTATAATTATATACGCAGTGCTTTATTAACACAAATAGCACAGTCTCTTTACTGGCGAGTTCAGTGAAGAGTAACACCCCATAACAAGGTTTCACTCAGCTCATAACAATATTGTGAAAATCTGTGTAATCAAATTTTTCTACTCAGAAAATTAATGTTTAAAAAGTGTAGCTAGCTGGTTGCCTATCGCATACTTGAGAGGCAGCATTTGTACAGAATCATTAGCCATTTGCTGTACATGCCAAACTATTTGCCACCAATAATGTCTCCATGATATAGGTCACAACCAACTTTGAAAAGGCTGTGTCTTTATGAAGCATTTCTGATGTCTATTATGTACTCCGTTCTAATCCTTCTTAATAATATCTTTTTTATAGTTGTGCAATTTGAAAACTGAAATTTCTGTTGACTGCTGTTTCTTTGAAGGAATCTTGGCAATATGATTCCATAGCAGACAAAATGCTTTTCATTGAAAATAAAAAGCTTTGAACATAGGACTTTAAATGTGGTACATCTAACAAGGATTCCGTGTCATTTATCCTTAGTGTTTATATTCTAACCTCTATTGGAAGTAATCATGTTCTGTTTAATTTTTCATTACGATATGCAGAGTCATTAGTCAGGTTTTATCTTCATATATTATTTAAATGATCGGCATGATATTTCACATGCTGCATGTCAAGGATAACATACATTCACAGGCAATATGGCAAATAGATTAGACCTTCCCCAGGGCATCTGAGAGAAAATTTAGAACTTATTAGGCTTGGAATATACATTTTAAATATAGAAAACTATTTTTTTTGTTTTGGAATACAAATTATAGTAGCTCAGATTTACATATAATTACAAAATGTGAATATAAAAATTAACAAAACACCACATCCAATAAAATAAAATTCATATGTCATGAAATTTAAGAGAAAGAGGGTCAAATGAGCAATCGCGGTCTCTTGGTTCATTTTTTTCTAGCTGAAATATGTTTTTGATCTCAACTAATTTCCTGAACCAAATGTGCCAGATCAATAAGCCAGTATGCCATAGTTGCATAGTTGACAATTTAGGTGCTTATCATGACTCAAGGAGGATATTTTCCCCGGTACATGCTTGCAGTCTCTGCTGTGAATTGGAGTTGTGTGTTACATTTCACCAAGTAAAACAGCAAAAATAGTCTTTTTACTTGATTAAGCCATTTGTTTTGGAAAGAGAGCTGGCACAGATTTGGGCTTCATATCATTGTCCACATAATGTGATGGAGACTGCTAATGTACAGATTCAGTTTTTTCTTCTTTTATTGCTGGAATATTAGATTCACATTCAGGGGATAGTAATGGTTGTAAGAATATTGTGCATGGAAATTGGAATGCATATGATTTTATTAATGGTACTACTAAATACATTTATTTTTGGTGATACAGTGTAAATTACTAAAAATTTTAATTAAGCCATCTAAAGAGATTATGAGCATTTAGATAGTCTAACAAACACACATGCACACACACACACAGAGTCAAATGAGCACATTGAGAATGTCATTGTTAATATTTAAAACAAAAGATAGCCATTTTGCTTCTAATATATACATGGCTGAGAGTGTTTAGTGACTGTTCAGATTATTGGTTTTGAGATTCTGTCTCCATAGTTTAGGGTATTGAGAACCATTAATAAAATATATATTATAAGGTCACTTTAACACTCAGACACAGGAGGCAAGAAAAAAAAATAGAACCTCATCTGTATGCTCAGCAAAAGAAGCTGAACAAAATAACATGGGAAATGCCCTGGAATGAGATATTAATAATGTAAACAGAGTTTACCCTTTGGTCAATTTATTTGTGTACGTAATGCATGTGGAATTTCTTGTGCACATCTCTCTTTTTTTTACTACTTAAAAAATGTAACTTTTAGGATATTTATTTGCTTAATGGGGCAACACCATCACATTTTCTTCTTGACCTCAGCTGGATGGTATGTCCTGGGAATGTGCATCCTTTTTCCCCTCTGTAACGAGGGAGCCCGTCCTGCTCCCCGCCGTGAATCTGTTTGTCCCCCTTCTGACGTCCCCCTCACCACTTGTGCTCCTCCGCTCCCCTCCTCCTCGCGCTGTGTGCCTCTCCTCCGGTGCCCCGTGCCTCCTTCCTCCTCTGTTCTCCTCTCCTCTCCTCCTCCGCTCTTTCTCCCGCCTCCGCTCTCTCCTCCTTGTCCGCTCCTTCCTCCTTCACTCGCTCTCCGTCCCCCTCCTCTCCTCCTCGCTCCTCCCGGCTCTCTCCCGTTCCTTCTGCCCCTTTCCCCTTTTGAATTCCCCCGCCGGCGTCCGGCCCGGGTGACGCAATGCGCCACGTCACCAGGCTCCGCCCCCGCCGTGCGCCTGTGCCCGGTGACGTCAGCCGTCACGTCGCCGAGGCTCCGCCCCCGCCTCACGTTACTGTC